GGCCCCTGCGGGATCAGGAAGGCTCAGGGCACCCGCGGTCAGGGGTGAGGAGGCTAGAAGAGAGGGAGTAAGTCTTAGGAAGGGTATCTCTGCTTCCCTTCCTCACACCCCGTACCCAGTACCCGTGAGGAAATTGACTTTCCATGGACAACATGTGCCCAGAGAGAGGGGCAAGGGGAGACCCATGGCCTGACCTCCCAGAGGGGGCTGGCTTGCTTTGGTACCTGTGCAAGGGCCTGTGCATGTAGGAGAGTGAAAAAGAAAAAGAATTCTTTAAGAAAAAAAAAGGCATTCGTTTTGCGTGGCCGGTATGGCTCAATGGATTGAGCACCATCCCATGGACCAAGAGTTCCCAGGGTTCGTTCCTGGTCAGGGCACATGCCAGGGTTGCAGGCTAGATTCCCAGCGTGGGGCGTGCAGGAGGCAGTCATAAGATGTGTCTCTCATTGACATTTCTATCTCCCTCTCTGAAATCAATAAAAAAATATATCTTTAAAAATACATTCATTTTATTTATAATAGTTCCAACCTGGATATAACCCAAGGGCCCATCACCAATAGAATGAATAGACTGTGGCATATTCATATATTCATAATGGAATAGTAACCCAGCAGTAAGAAAAGGAACCATTGGTACATGCAACAACATGGATGGAAGAAGCCAGACCAGAGTGCACACTATAGGATGCCATATACGTGGAGTTTAAGAACAGACTAAATTGAAGATGACAAAGTCAGAATGGAGGTTACCCCTAGGGGTCTCTATGGACTGGGAAGGGGCAGGTGGGAACCTTATGTGATACAGGTGTATACATATGTAAACAATCAACTGTACACTTAAGATTCATGCACTACATATACCTGACTGGATGTATGTTACATCTCAAAAAAAAATTCTTAAAAGATGTGCTTATTTCCATGTCATGCGAACCACACCCATAAGACAGGCTGGACAATTGATACCATGATGCAGTGACCAAGATGTCGCCTCACCTGACGATACCCCTGTGTGTGTCACTGTTTGTTCCTGCCCTCTGTACCCTGCTCTCCAATCCCTGCCACTCCGGGCACCTAGGTCCTCTCCTCAGATTTCATTGCTAGGGTGGTCTCCAATAAGTGGCCTTGCCTGCCCTTTACTCCAAGGGTCATGATATTTGTCCTCCCCAGACCTCTTCTGGCACAAGCAGCCACCCTCCTGGAATCCCAGCTCTGGTCACCCTCAACTCCCACTGCATCCCCCCATCATCTCTGGCTTCTGGTCAACCCTCCCCTGCCTCCTGGGATGTCTACCCCTTTCCTCACTGCCTCCTTCTTTCTAACTGCCTGCAATCAGGTTTCCACCACCCTCTGATGTCAACGTGCTCCACCAGATCACAGCCCACCTGCTAGTCAGACAATTCAATTGTCACCAGGTATCTTCACCCACTTGACCCCTTGGCTGATTCTCCTGACCCCTCAGTCTTTATAGGTTACCATTAAGGTGCCTAGTTTGGGCTCTCTGACCTCCTCTTCTTGCTGCTTTCCTAATCTTGTCTCCTGATAGGAGAGGTCTTCATGCCCCCTTTGTCTTATCTTCTCCCCTGGCAGTCTGATGCACTCCCTGGAGTTAACTCACACCATAAACCCATGAAGTCTCAGCTCTGCCTCTCCATCCTGACCTGTTCTTGAGTTCCATTTGCTTCGGCATTTCCACATGGCTGTAGGAGTGTGTGATGTCTGTTCCCTTTGCAGCCCAGCACCCAGTCCTCATGAGAAGAGCACCCTGCTTTGACCTTGGGGAACCATTGTTCCTTTCCTCTTATCTCAGTCCATGTGGTCCGGGTGGGGGTTGATGGTCCATCCCTGGCTTCAGGGGTAAGAATGTGATAAAGGCCTGGTCGACCAGAAGCCTGGAATGAGCACATATCACCCAAGTTGAATCAATGAGTATTTCCTCATTGAGTTAATGAGTTATTTCTCCAGAACTTCTTTGGAACTACTGGGGGAAAGCATCACTTTGGGCTCAGGTTTCTAAGCCGATGAGGCCATCTTTGGGAGGAACCACCTGGGAATGAAGCCCACATAAAGAAGCAGAACTGAGCCCAGCTGGTATGGCTCAGTGGTTGAGCACGGACCTATAAACCAGGAGGTCATGGTTCGATTCCCGGTCAGGGCACATGCCCTGGTTTCACGCTCGTTCGTGCAGGAGACAGTCAATCGATGATTTTCTCTCATCGTTGATGTTTCTATCTCTCTCTCCCTCTCCCTTCCTCTCTGAAATCCAAGAAGAAGAAGAAGGAAGAAGAGGAAGAGGAAGGAAGAAAGAAGAAGAAGAGAGATTCCTCACAGACACTGTTTAAGCCAGCTGGACATGGGTCTGTGTTACTTGCACCAGGAAAAAGTTCTCCAGACATTAGAATCAGGGATGGAATTTTTGAAAGTAATAGACCCTAAGAAGGAATTAGCTGAGCTAAGGGGAGGAGTACGCTAGTACCGCTCCACCCACTGGGAAGTGGTGAACCCTGCTACACAGCAGCAAAGCAGTTGACTAAGCTCTCCCACTGCCTCCGGAGCTTAGATGTTCCCACCAAGGCTGGAACTTGAGGGGACTTGAAAAATGTCACCGTGTTGGGGTGTGGCGCCAGTAAGGTCCAATAGGAAAGACACGCTCTGGCCCATCTGAAAGCAGAGGAAGAAAATGCTGCTATGCCCAGAGAGGCTCTTTCTGCCTGAGGCCAGCAATCCAATATGGCTGAGAGTCAGATAATTAAGAGCCAGTTCTCTGCTTCTAGCTACAGTCAGCCAGGCAAAGACAGGGAAGCTGGAAACACGGAGGGAGACAAGCCTGGGGCCTGTCAGGCTCTTAACTCCCCAGACCCTCCTGCAACCCTTCTGCTGTGCCCTCCCAGCTCCACAGAAGCAACCACTGCTTTCATTATAAGCGGCCTCCCACTGGGATGCCGTTTGAGTGGGAAGGGGCAAAGGAACTGTGCCTCCCACCATACAGTAGGGATTTGAACTGCCCTGTGGTAAAGGCCTAACTAGAGGCCACAGAACCATGGGCTCCTGGGATGTGCAGAGCACCAAGGCCTGTTGCTAAGAGACAACCCCTCCTGCTTCCCAACACCATCACCGGGGACTCCATTCAAGAATTATAACTTCAGGGAGGTCTCTAGTTTGGTTAATAGCTCTGGGGATGACTGAATGCAAATTGACTGAAAGCTTCCTAATGATTAAGGGAATTGTACTGCCAGAAAAAAACAACCCACAAACCTGGAAAACAAAGGCTAGGGAATACTTAGCTCCTACAGTTCCCCACCCACCAAACCCACACCAATGGGAGGGGACTCAGTGCTCCTCCGTGGCCAAGAGCACAAACGACAAAAGTCGCTGTCTGAAACAGCAGAACCAGAGCCACCAATACAGGGTCCCTGCCAACTGGCCGAGCATGTGGAACATGCTATGGACTTGTGACCACTGAGTGTTTTTTCTCATCTCCCCTCTTCAGCTGGGAGGGTGTTTGTTCTTTCGGTTACCGATTTTCCCTCCATCACTGTAATCTGGCCATACATCGAAAGACCAAGCCCAGTACCTTGCCAGACAGCTCACCAAGACCTTGAAGTGGACCTGAATGTGGTAATTGGGTAAGTTGGAACGTTTCATTCCAGAAATAGGACAGTGTGTTTTGCCCGGCCGATGTGGTGCAGTGGTTGAGCTTCGACCTATGGACCAGGAGGTCACGGTTAGACTCACTCACGGTCAGGGCACATGCCCAGGTTGCAGGCTTGATCCCCAGTGTGGGGCATGCAGGAGGCAGCCAATCAATGATTCTGTCTCATCATTGATGTTTCTATATCCCTCTCCCTCTCTGAAATCAATAAAAATATATTTTTAAAAAACCACACAGGACGGTGTTTTTTTAAGTTTTGTGAGAGATAATTGCATTACGATAAATAAAACTTTGTAAAAATGTTATGGAGGGGTTCTGTGTAGATCTTGGACAGCCAAGAGGTAGAATGTAGAGGACATGCATTGTTTTTGCTGCTCAGCTCCAGTCGCCCTTTGTGGATAGACCCCCAGTTTTCCCTTAGAGAACCATTCCCCCCACTTTGAATGGTTTTGGGGTAGGGCTGACCCCACACCTCCTAGCTCAGTGGTTCTCAACCTTCCTAATGCCGCGACCCTTTAATACAGTTCCTCATGTTGGGGTGACCCCCAACCATAAAATTATTTTCGTTGCTACTTCATAACTGTAATTTTGCTACTGTTATGAATCGTAATGTAAATATCTGATATGCAGGGTGTATTTTCAGGGGTCGCGACCCACAGGTTGAGAACCGCTGTCAGGGGAGCACAGATGACTTTAGCCTGTTCATCACAGTGATCATTCAATAATGGGCTAATTCAGCCACTCACGGACCTACGCTCAGTGGGTAGAACGTGAGCCTGGATCTGCTTGTGGCCATTTCTGTCCTCTCTTTGGGCAAGGAGAAAAACAAACTATGGATGACATCCCTTTGAGCATCCAATCCAGATGTGCCTGAAACTTTAACCCAAGACTTGTCAATTGTAATTAGGCAGCAAATTCTTTCTGTAGCTTAAATCACCTGAATTGGTTGCCAGTCACTAGTAATGAGACTCTGGACTAACGCAATGACCCACCGTGTCAAGAAAACAACACCTTGGACTTCCTGTTGGCCCCTCCCCAGCATCCCCATTTCCTTCACTGGTGCTGCCGCCCTCCCCTCTGTCACACCATACCCACTGGCCGTGTTGCTTTTGC